CAACTTGGGGTCTTAGCTGCCCCCTCTTGTGCAGACTCCTGTTCAGTGTACATTGTGGACGCCGATGTGTGGTAGTACGCTTAGGTGCGGTCTTACGTCGCGTCCTCTCCCACCTACGGTCATCTTGACTCTGTTTTGACACCGGATCCAGGCCGGAGGGGAGGAGAGCGTGCGGTAGATGTAGTGCAAGTCTGCTATCACTTTAACCTAGCTCACGCGCAAGTCACCGTCCGTGCTTTCACCCAGCTGTGGAGCACTCGGTGGACATTGTCGGGAAGGCCGATCGAGCTGTCAATTCCGCACACGCACGTGGCACACATGGGACGGAGACTTCCACACCACATCAGCCACTTCGCCCAATCTCACCAGTAGTTTCTTGGCAGGCTGGGGTGGTCGATTGGTGTACGGGAGGAGGGAGAGAGTAGAGTCACTACTGGTGAATTCATCCCCGTAGCTCATCGACGCATTCCTCTTTAATATAATCCTAATGCGCTTAAGCCCATCACAACGCGCGGCCGGTCGTGGTTTAGAAGTTTGACAACTGATGGGGTTGTTCGCTCACCTCCAATCGGCTTGGCCTGATCGCGCAGTTAAAGCGCAGGTCTTCTTGACTGTAGACAAATTTACGCCCGGGCAACCCCTACTGGGTCCGATTCATCATCCCTGACTATTAAAATATCGGCTTTCTGGCACAAGACTTCATCGCAGCGGTTTAGTGAATTTTGATGTTTGCCGCCTAGAATTGTTACCAGCAAAGACGGAGACATTGAGATGGCCATTTTTGATTTCTTTGGCGTAATTAACCGGTGATAACCAAACCATGGGCTGCGCACTCAGTCTCAACACTGGCCATTTGATGATCGAGCAACCGTTTCTTAAACTACCGGCGCAGTTTTGCGCTCATACCCAATTCAGCCGATCTTCGAAGGCCCAACAGCCAGCCTCAGGGGATCTGGAGAGCCCTGGCAACACTTGTCCATTAGCGGGTATCAAATACCGAGAGTCGAAGAACCACCACCATGTTTTTGCCGCTTACAACGACCCCGAGTTTAGGGCAGTATCCTTGTACTCATGCGGCCTGCCCGAAAAGTGTGTCTCTCGCAGTGCTGTACCGGCAAGTACGTGGTTTTTCGCTTAAGAGGGATGGGTGTATTTCACTCAACAGATCGTTCTTGGGTGACGGAGGTCGAAAACCTCAAAAAAAAACCAGACGGATGCCGTTTGCTGGCAGCCAACTCGGAGCCTGATAATGCACCACCTAACGTGAAACCCGGTCTGCCTGGGTCGTCCTTGAATCACGCCGGGCAGTGCTCACGAGATTTTTTGCCTCAACAGTCCTCCTGTGTTGTGTCTTATCTCCCTCACTCGACTTATGTGTCTGTGGTGCAGCACTTGTAAACTTTAGCAAAGATGTTGCATTTTCCGACCGCCTTGTTGTACAATCGGTGATTTCCTGTCGTGTAGAAGCGTCACGTGACACTGCGTAGTTTGAGGGAGGACGAAACTCCGTTTACACAAAGAGCGGAGTGACGATTTGTCGACCGAGCCTCAGAGATATGGAGCAAATATTTACATCACGAGAAGGGTCGTTCGGTGCTGGAGACCTGCTGCCGATTCGGCGAGTACTTTAGTTGGGTTTTCGAGTGTCGCCAAGGTTTGGTGGCTGCTTCGTGGAAGTCTACACTTGAGGCCATTTCATACCAGCCTCTCCGACATTTTGCAGTGTTAGCGAATGGAGTCATCATTGTGTGCACTAGCCAAAGTTTAGACGTCTCACTCGGATGCCGTACATGCGGTGCTGACTAGTGAATTCGAGAAGCCTGTCAGCCGCCTCTCAGACCGAGCGTTTTAACCCGAATCATTTCTTGTTGCCATCCAGTTTTGACTACAAAGTGGATTACAATTTCTGTTTTCCACGCCTCGATTGAATTATGGTAATTTTGCGAGACGTTTCGGGTGCGTCAAACAAGACTAACCTTCATACTTGTATGGACGGGAGCATGATCTGGCTCATTTCGGTACGGCGGCTTACCTGCTTGTCTCGCCCTCAGCTAAGAAACCTTGAGTCAACTGAAATTTAGCCAGTCCGGCAGGCCACAAGACTATTGTCAGAATGCCCCACCAGCTAATGTTTGCAGTATTTAGTAGGTAGCTGAGAATAACAAACGGCCTATTCTAGTCCTCGAAGCAAGCTCTCAAGCCCCAAATGACCGCTTGATTTAGCCCCTAGTCGCTGTCTGGCCATTCTCGCCATCTGTAACGAGGGATCTCCTCAATATTAGTCCTTGTAGATGCAATTTGAGGGCATCTTTATCGCGTTGGTCGGCCGCTAATATTGCCGTGTAGACGGAGATGACAGTCCTACAAACGGTCACCACGCAAACTATGCTGGGACTGCTCTCCTGAGGTACCGCTGAGGTAGAGGGAAGAACAGGATCTCTCCCGGAGTGTTGATTTCTCAAGAATATGAATCTGGCCTTCAAACTTGAAACAAATAGTGTATATCTGTCAATAGGAACGGAAAGACGAGTCCGGGAAGTAGTCACGAAGAACAAGACACGATCACTGGAACAAAAGCTTTCTTAGCCCGACGTTTCCGGTTCTCTCCCGAGTCTATCATCAGAGACGGTCAGATGATGGGTTCAAGTGAGAATCTGAAACGTCAGACTAATAAAGCTTTTATTCCAGCGGTCGTGTCTCCTTCGCGAGTATATATCGGTATTTTGTTTGTGGATAATGCGCGCCGGTGTAGGATCGATACCTGGTTTCCGGTTTCCCCGGACGCCGTAGCACGAATCAGAACAAACGTTCAGACATTTATTTTCCTGGAATATTTTAAAAAATTTCCGTACCAGTAAGTCTCCAGCAGTTTTACGGTTCGCATATTGGGGGTTGCCCCCTCTAACGCTTTGGCACCGTAGGACCTACTTTTGGGCTGTGGGCACGATGAGTGTTCACTGTCACTGCGTCACAGTGTCGTTATT